CCCTCTCTCCCCCTCTCTCTCTCTCTCTCTCTCTCTCTCTCTCTCTCTCTCTCTCTCTCTCTCTCTCTTTTTCTCCATTCCCTTTGTTCTGTGCAGTCAAAGCCCAGGTTAGTTGTCTTGGAAATAGCAAATGTTTCACATGAGGTTGAAACAATCTTTGAGAGTCACTCTGGCTACTAAAAACATGTGTCCAAAAATATCTCAATGTTGGACAGTGGAGTAGTGGGGCATGTTATTGCCCCACTACTCCACTGTTGTGCAGCTTACTCTGGTCTGTCTAATTGCTCACCTGTGTCCACTAATTTTGATCTAATCTTTGATGTTGAAGTGTACCCTACCAAATACACCAAAAAAGAACCCACCTAGTGTTGATTGTTATTAAGTACGTAAGTACATAAAGTATTATATATTATCAAGTAATTCTGTGTTACACTTGTAGTCAAATGTTAGTCCAACCCTTTACAACCAAAGTAATGTCTGCCTTTTAATTTTTGGGCCAATAGACCTTTGTTTACAAGAAGTAGCAGGGAAACGGTAATAGAAGTTCATCATTATGTGATAAATACAGCTCATTTTGGACAATTCTGTCTCATACACTCTCTATTAAAAGAGGTCATACTTTTAAAATCTATACCTGGCATCAAGGCCTGCCGTCAGATATCATTGTTGTTTTTAGAACTATTAAAACTGTATGACGAAAAAATGTAAATCAGCACAAAATGGCCTCATGGGTAAGCTGTAATTAGGTTTACAAGCTAATAGAAATGGACTCTTGTCTCCTGTATGTGCCACAAATAAAGGATCTTATGTACAGATAAGTAATATGTCCACCAGTTGCTATGGCAACATAAAAATGCTGCACTCATGGCCCCACTTCCTTGTCTCTGGAGTGGGGGTGAAAATGCCACAAGTACCGCAACTAGAAAAAGATCTGTTGCTAGGGTCAGTGGAGATGCTTTTCATCACATGAAAAAAAAATGAAAAAAAATCTAGCCAAGTTGAATTTTTAAACCCACAAAAGAAGAGGTGATTTTGTTTTTGTTTTTTTGCGTGCACAGGAAAGATAAAAACATTCGCAACAGGCTATTTCAATGGAGGAAACCTCGCCATGTGCACATGTGCCAGTGGGTGCACACTTTTTTCAGCTTCATTACCCTGACACAAGTGAAAATGTTCCTGTGGTGCTGTACGGCTCAGTGGTCGAAGCTTGGCTCCAGCGCTGCTGTAGCCAGCCAGTATGAATAAATTCACTCCTGATCAGAAAATAGGAAGAGAAAAAGCTGGCTCTGACTCATTTTATCAAAAACAAACATTGGTGCCATTAAGGTTGTGCTTTTGGGCGTAGAATAAATTAATTCTTTGGCCATGTTTGTGTTGAAAACTTTCGGCAGTTTTATTTTTTGTCTGCATTCACAAGAATTGCAGTACGTTTGCCTGCTGCAGAATAAGAGCCACTATCTCCTGATTTTTATTTACAGCTGCTGACACGCCATAAAGTCTATCTAAACAGGAGATCAGATTGCTGCCATCCGTAAACATTTTAAGAGTCCTTCTAAAAGGCTTTATTAGAAAATGACAAAACTCAGTGCAGTGTGTCATCTGGAACACAAACCAATTTATATCTGTCTTTTCCAAGTCTAATCTTTTCTATAAATAACAATGTTTTCAACGTGGCTCCTCCGTTAGGGCAGTCAGTGTTAAATTGAGTGCCAGAAATAAACCTGTCCCTGGTCGCATAAACCTAGTATTTATATGTGGCATCCCACAGGGTTTAACTCTAGGCCTATGACTTTTTGTTTTTTTATAATACCATTGAATTCTTTAATCTGAACTACAAAGTAGCACAATGTATTTACCCAATTCTAGAAATGTTTCGAAATTTTGAAGCATGTAGAAGTCAATAAAATCATTAGTTCTGGTTAGGACTGGGTGATGTCTACTTAAAGTAATTTCACAATATTATTTAACTGAATGGCGATACTCGATATATATCAATATTTGTTCTATTAGGTGATTGGGGTACCTCCTAAAGCATAACAGCATATTAGATTCATTCTTTTTCTATAGACAAACCATTTGAAAACTAACTCTGTTATAAGTTAGCCATTCCAAATGTCACCTCTATCAACAGAGGTCACTCTGCATAATATCAAACTGTTTAAAACAAATTGAACAAAGAAAATGTCTAATCTATGAAATAAAAATTCTTCTTAAACAAAATAAAATAAATGTCTTTCCTGCATGACCAAAAATACACAGACATTTGAAACGCTCTGCTTCTGTGCTTTATTAGTCAGATTTTGAAATTTCTTTTTTTTAGATTTTTTTTTTACAATAATGCAAATTTTGTGTTCATGTTTTTGTGCTGATTATACAGTACAAGATGTTTATTCTTCTAAATTATTTATGTCCTGAATATTTTTGCATTCTTATAAAAAAAAGAAATATTTTTAAGGAAAGCTCAGCAGCTACTTATTAATATGTACATTAACACCCGGGTCAATTTTTCTTTTTAATATGTTTGCTGTCACATTATTCAGAAATTACTCATTTTCTGTGCCCTCTGGATTTGTGCTAGTGTGGCCTTTCATGGTTCAGGCTTTTTTGCATTTTCATTCCCAGCTGTTCCACTCCAACCTCAATGAGTTCATTTTGAATCTAAAATTATCCGCCATCACACATAGGACAATTAGTCACGTTAGCCGTGTGCTGCATGTGCCTGCCCTGATGTATAATGCATGTATGCTGTGTCTCAGGCCATAAGCAGCCCCAGAAGTCCCTTGTTCACCCAAATAAACAGGGCGACCGGCAAACACGATGAATTACTCATGATTCATTAGCAATTAATGGCCCTCGTTCTGTGCTTTCATTTCCAATTAGTATTCCTTAGGGGAACCAACTATGTCTGTGCTGAGTGAGAGAGCGAACCCGCAGTCACGCTCGCTTTCTCCATCTTGTTACTGCCTCTTTATACTTTATCGATTTGCTGACGTTAGATATGTTGGTGCACACGCAGACGTTTCTGCCTTCGTTTTCTCTCATGTGTAGCATTTAGTGGCTAAATAGGAGGATTCAAAATGTTTGTATTTGCCCCTGAGTGAATGTGTGTGATCGTGTATCTGTGCTAACAATCTGAGTGACACTTGTGTGTTGTCCCCTTTACCAGGCCAGCACCGCTCTCTTGGCCCCAGCATTTCCAAAGTACGCAGCTTGAAGTTGGACAGCAGTATTTGGAGCAATGAACTTGTGGAGGTTAGTTCTGCACCAAACATGTACATTTTCAAATAGTTGGCTGTAAAAATGTTGTCATCTCCTGTCTACATTTGAATTGATACAAAATATTTAGCTATATTTTAGCCATCTTCCTGCTTTTACTTACTTTAAAATGTGCTACCAATTCTTACACCTAATAGCTTTACCATTTTCTTTATCTAACTTTTTGTTAGCTTTTGGTCTTCTTTTGGACTAAAGGTAGTTTGAATGATGTGTATTATTTTAATTTTACAGCTATTTCTGGAGGTTGGCAATAAAAATGCTAACAGTTTTTGGGCTGCTAATCTGCCGCTGGAAGAGGAAATCCACAGCGCGGCCTCAATGGAACAGCGTGCAACGTTTATACGCAGGAAGTACCGGGAGAGAAAGTACCGGAAAGTCCTGGAGGGCATTGAAGACCTGGAACAGCTCAACCAGGTATGATTTTACTGAAGACAAAAATGATATGTTGTTGCATGGAAGGCTTTTCCTTAGGTGTCAAATACAGTAAGTGTTTTGGTAATTTGCTCAAATTTCATTTCATTAATAATTATATTTAGTATTTAATTAAAGTATTCATATTTTTATACACAAAGACAAAATATTGAGATATAACAGAATGACGGTGGGATGTTGATGAGGCGGGGGCTAACAGTGCCACTGCATCACTTTATTAACATGTGTCTCCATTTATTTCTCTTTATTAGTTTAGTTCATATGCTTCTTTTCTACAGTTTTGTTTCTGTCGTTTCATGCTTGTCAACTTGTTTATTATGAATATTATGGTAGTACCGGTGCAGGTACTACTGAGTGAGTAAGTTAAGATTTTGTCCCACTACTTTTGTCCAACAATGATTCAGAATTTAATTCATTTTTGTTCTTCTATAATTGTTATTTTCTATCTTTGTTGACTGTCAGTTCAAATAAACTTTCACGATCAGAAGAAGCAAAGTGCAGTTGCCACAACACAGTAAATGGACAACTACTGCACTGGCTCATCTGTGCCTTAGAAGAATCATGAGACATGTCCCCGTCCATTAGCTGTGTCCACTCTCTCTGAAATAGCCCCAAATATTTCTCATTGTTCGACTGCTAGTTAAAGTGCACTATCAGGGATGATAAAGGCGGGGGCAGGAGGGGGTCTGGAGTATAAGGAGCTGAGGCCTTCACTGCCTGGTTGTGGTTTAGCGTTTATTTCCTCTGCAGAGGAAAAGAAATGAGCTTCTAAAAAGAAGGTCTTAAGAACACTGTACCTCCGAGTTTTCCCCTCCGTCAGCATTGACGCAGATCAGACCATCTGTATCGTTTTTCTTGGTGGAATGAGAGGAATGGAGATGTAGAGAGAGAGAATGTGGAGTGAGAAGGTATCGAGCAGATATACTGACCGGCTGAGTGGAAAAGTGGATTAGGATCCACAACAGAAACGCTCGGGTGGGTTTTATTGTGGCCTTGTCGGCGCCTGAGTATGTGCATGTGTCTGTGTGTGTGACTGTGGGAATGTGTGGCCCATACATGCATGCGAACATGGGTTCTGCTCCAGTGGAAATGTGTGAATGGACTGTCATCGGTTTTATGCTGGCTGTCAGAGGAGGCTGGCGTGTGACTGACAGATGGGAAATGTGTCTGAATCCAAATGTCCAGTCTGTGGGAGCTACAGATGAGCTGGTGAACACAAGTCCATCCCTGTAATTATGGTAGCGTTATAGTTCATTATTAGCTACCATTAGCTGACATTTGTCAAGTTTGAACTTTGTTCTACTTATATTTACACACCGTTTTCTCTGCTATCAGTATGTTGTTATGTCTTTTTCACAGTTTTTCAGTAGAGTATTTTGGTGCTTTTGGTTTTCCATCCATCCATTATTTACCACTTATTCCCTTTCGGGGTCATGGAGGGCACAAGAGTCAATCCCAGCTTTCTGTGAGCGAGGACAGGGTACACCCTTTGCCAGTCCATCACAGGGCCACATATTGGGACAAACAACCAATACAACCACTCTCACATTCATACCTATGGTCAAGATTTAACGAGTTAATGACTTAGCTTATTACTTTTTTAATCAGAGCTTTGTTATCTGAGTGATCACTTTTCATTATTTGTTGTTTAAATTTATTCAAATTTGGACAAAACATTTAAATTGAAACCTTTATCTGACATTAAGTTTTGAAAACCAGTCCTAATGCAGGCGAGCCGGCCTGCTGTGGTTCAAAGCTAAATAAAGTGTTTGCTGGCTCAAACTCTCAACTTTACGGGTGGAGTGCACAATAATTTGTAACTTTGGACACCAACAAATCACTGACCTGTCATTAAAGTCTTGTAAAGTTGGCTCACTGAGCTAAAAGTTCACTGAAGACTTGATAAAGAACGGCTCTGCAGCTCCTGGACACTGAGGGACATCCTGGTAATGCTCTTGTTTACTTGGGAAACCTGCTAGGGCTAAGTGTGTGTGTGTGTGTGTGTTTTAGTGGAAGGGGAGAAGATAGGAAGAGAATTACTGGGCTGCTGTCTGGACTGGCGTTATTAATGTGCTAGGCAGGTTTGATCAGCATCGTGGTGTCAGCCGGCCCTTAATGCGGCTGTGATTCAACATGCGTGTGTTTGCTAAAATAAATAATCATAAACGCCCTTTCGAACCCAGTGCAGAAGTGAAGAGTCTCCAGTAATAAATCACCTGCAGCGTACAAAGTAAATAAATAAATAAAATAAACATAAAATGGTAAACAAGGACGATGAGTCTAATCTCATTGGACACATTCCACCACCTGAGTGTCACATATATTTACCGTAACATGGCTACGAATATGAAAATAAACAGCTCTGTGTAAGATGTACAGTACAGGAGAAGGGTTGGGTGATGATGAAAACTGCTCAGATGGATGGATGGATGGACGCCTAGACGAATATCAATTTCACTTGTTTACTTATTTGTTCTCACTGTTCAATGTAATGTGTGCAAACTGAAGAAAGTTTCACTCGCACAAAGTCTGATTTTGCGTAATCATTGATGAATTATTTAACAATGACACCAAACAACTGTTTATGACCATTGTGTACTCATGGAGGTTAAATACTTGAAAGTATTATTCAAATATTAATGTGTATTGACAGACCTTATAATCCTATGGGAAGACATGAGGTCACAAATGCTTGGGAGATGTTGTGCAATCAATGAATTTTTTTTATAAATAGGAAAAAAACAACTAACATACATGTACAAACAGGTCCAAGTGAATTAAAGAAAAACAAAGATATATATATATATATATATATATATACAGTATATGTACTGTATATAGGTGCAGAAATTAGCAACAAAGTTGAAGTGAAATGAAGGAAGCGTCTGAAGGCAACCACTGGTAGATCTTGTCAAGTTTGGGGCTGCATTTCTACAAATGTTGTTGCCAATTTGATCAAGATTATCAGTGTAACAGTTTAATTTGGGGGAAAGTGTTTTTATTTTATTCCAGACAATAACAAATGACTTTCAACGCACTTCTTTTGACAATCCCCCTGTACCTCAGTCTTAAGCTGTCGTTTCACACACTGACATCAGTACTATAAAGACGTTGTGGCCAATTAAGGTTGATTTCTCTAGAACTGACATTTCTTGCTCCCCCAGACTGTTTTTGTTTCGCTGTCTCCCCTTCCCTCTGCTCTTTTTATATTCCTGCTCTCCCTGTTTCTCAGTCCCATGTTCCCCATTAGAAGCTCATATCCCAGTGACCTCCACCGAGTCTCTGCAGGCCACATGACCTAGAGAGAGGAGCGGGTGTCAAAGGACCATCTTATATCATTAGCCACACTCTCACACAGAAAGCCTGCAGCGGGCGCCATAATTGCTGTGGCATGGAAGGTCATTGGCAGAGACGGCACAGAATCAGGCTGAGTTGACTGGAACTATTTTGCCATAGTCTGACCCTAGACAATAAAGAAAAGTGAAAATGATGGTCTGCTTCTACACTGAGATGGTTTTCAAACAAATTAAAGTTAACACAACTGAACGCATGATAAAGATGTCAGGTGGAACTGTGTGGAAGCTGATGGAGATGTGTACAACACCTCACATGGTTATTTGAATTTAAGGTTTTAAGGATTTAAGGTGGAACCTGAGCTTTGGTCAGATGGAAACATCTTCATCTTAGTGTGGGTCTTCTGAGTGTGTGGTGTGAGTGTACACAAAGACACACACATCCTGTTAGTGTGAGCGCCTGTTTGATCCTCACCTGCAGTCAGACGTGGCTTGTTCGCAGCAGATCGATGCAGTTTTCTGACTTGCTCTGTGTCAAACTAAAGCTGAATCTCGTTTTGGTGAAATTCCTATATTTGCCACAGGACTCCACTGTTTTAATCCCAACAGTTGACTGGATTGATGGGAAAATTGAAACATAGAGAAGATATTTTCCTGGTCAGACTTACAGTACTTATCTTTTTCCAGATGAGAATTCCCTTATAACATATTTTGAGAAGCGTAAACGTAACATCACGTAACGTGACGTAATGTCACTAGTTCCAGTAGTTTTCAGATTTTGCTTCTACATTATTTTTGTTTTTATCATCAGGTCATTGTTGCTGGATAATCGACTTTATCTCTACACCCTTAAACACTTAAAATCCAAATTAAATATAAATTCATTTTCAATAAAACGCAATAAAATTCAATTGACTTTTCTTGATTACCTTTTACACTTTGAAGAACATTTTTTATTTTTCTCTCATAACATTAACTTTAAATTCATAATTATGACTGACCCTTTTATAATAATTATTTATTTATATATAATTATGCTTTTTATTATTTGTACTGACTCTTTATCTATTTTATATCTTTTAAGCTTTTATTCTTTTAGAATTTGTATTTATTTCATTATTATTCTAAATAAAAGGTTTAATTTTTCCTACAATAATAATGATAATATAATAGATTTTTGACTGCTAATGTCATAAGAAATGTATTATTGATTAAGATAATATAATATCTTTTGTCTAAATACTGATTTGGTGAAATTAGAAAGAAGGATTTATCTGATACATTGAGTTGTTTGTGTTATTTAATGGATTTGACATTTAAAACTTTCATATTTATCTTTCGGTCCTTCCAATGACATATACACGATTGTGTCATTATTCAGACAGATGATGACACATGATGGAAACTCACTCTGGGGAGAAAATGCAGTTAAAGGACAGAAAAACAAGGCAGCAAAAGTCAAATATTTACACGGAGGACTGTCGTTTATTGAAACCTGATTGATTTACAGGCCAAGGCTCAGTTTTCACTTGGCTTCTGAAAACACTTGTAACATAAAATATTTCCCCGTCACTCTTCTCCAGGAACTGAAGAAAGTATCCGTAGACTGTAAATATTTGTGAGCGAGATGTCGGCCTATAAACCTGGGGCACGGAGTCAGAGAGATGAGGCTGTAGATTCTTTAGCTGCAGTTTGACAACTGCAGGAGCCAAGCCTTTGGTATTTATTAGGAAGAAAAGCTCATCCTGCTCCACACTGCATACACTTTTTATATAATCATTTATTTGACGTGGATTTTTACACTACACTGTTGGGTACATCTTATGGATTTCCACCAGTGTTTCCCTCTTCTACTGGGTTTTTTTGCCCACTTTACTGTTTTTTTTACAGCTCCATTTCTGCATTTTTGTTTTCCTCCAAACTTTTTAAAATCATTATATTTAATATGGCCCATTTGTCCTTTTCTATTTGTTATATTTCCTCTTTCCCCACAGATATTGGAGCTTTTATTCTCCCCGCAGGACAGTTACAGCTTGATTTTATCTTGTCTTTGGTGATCCGTGTGCAGAAGTCAATTTTGAAAACATTTTATGATTTTTTTTTTTTTTTGATGTGACTTCATGGAGCCTTTCTGTATTCTGTCAGTGAGAAGGCAGATGCAGATGCAGGGAGCCTCAGCTGGCCGCTGTGTCCAGATATGAGAAAGCAGAAACACACATTTTTGACAGATTTTGTTCCTTTAATTCAGAAGTTGTTAATCATTCACACCCGGAAACCGGTAAATTTTAGCCAGACTAATAATAAAAAATGTATTTCAAGTATGAACCTCTTATTTAGTGGTTTTCAAAGTGGGGATGGACTCCATGTTGGGGGCCACGTTTTTTCTTTGCAGGGGTCAAATTTATTTTTATGCCACAAAGAAATAATTCACAGATTTTTATTTATCAAAAGGACATTTAATTAGCAGGAAATGTTTGGGAACTTCTGATCTAATTCACCAGCACATTTAAACCAGCTTTATTTTACACACACTTCATTATGAGAACATTCCGTACTTAGGACTGGGCTCTCACGAGTCCCACAGTGAGAGAGAGAGAGAGCGTTCTCTTAGTGCAGGGAAAGTCTTTATGTTTGTTTTCTGTTTACGCAGGCGTTGTGTGCAGCCGTCGTCTCCTCTGACGTTCTTCGGACCATGATGCTGGTGTTCAGCGGGGCAGATGTCATGTGTGCCACTGGAGACCCCAGCTGCTCCACACCCTACCAGTTAGCACAACGTGCTGGGCAGAAGCTTCAGATGGAGTTCCTGCACCAGAACAAATTATCAGGTGAGGAAAGTTAAAAGAAAGGATTCAAATCACCATGACCTCTGGATCTTTTAACCTGAACGCTCACAGTGAAAATTAGTTTTAGAATGTCTGCAGTTTAAATTTCAGATATATAGATATTTGTTGACATCTGTGTTTAAAGGTTAAGCCACCTGGTGGCTAAAGAGTTTTAATTACAGCAGTTCCTCTTACAACTTCTGTTTGTACGAGTTGTAACATTTGGTGCTTGGCTGTGTCACTTTTTGTTGAACTCTTTATTCCCCCCCTTGAGTCCTTAGTTGAAAATATTGTATTTTATTCCACATTAAACAGAGGACAGCATCGGCATAGGGAGAGCGAAGCTGGAGCAGGACAAAAGGCGAATGTTTTTTATTTTGAAAAATGTGGTTCAGTGTTTTGACTGTTTTTTTTTTTCCTGTTTAAAGAGATGATTATTTTTTCATGAAAAAGAAAAATAACCACTCATATCTGATATCAAATGCTTTTACAGAACTTTCCAACAAAAAATAATGGCATTGGAGAAGTTTAAGTGATACGTGTTCTCAGAAAGTTAGTGCTGTTTTCAAAAGAAGCTTTGAGAACTGAATGCCCTCTGGATATGAAACGCCTCCCGCTGCGTGTTTGGAACTTTTAACAGGTATTTATTCGATAATTGCTGTACATACGCTTTAATCCAAAAACAAAGGAGAGCAAAGACGACACAAACCCCTGGTCAGACACACACAATATATAGATAAATGTATTAATATACAAGTCTTTGAAAAGTCTTTAAATGAGGTGTTCAGTTTTTTGTGCAGTTTTTACAACCAGCTGCGCCCCGTATACGTTCAGCCCTTTGTCAGTACACTTTAACAAGCCAAACTTGTTTAAAGCTCACACTACTGCTGTTCTGCCACATTTATATAAAAACACAGTTGGAGTTTTTTTCTCTCTCTCTCTGTTCGTCATGACTAACAAATGAAGTCAAAAAGCTCCAACTTAAATATCTCTCTTTTTTTTTTCCTGTGATATTTCCCATCACCTCTCCTTTGCCTCGCCCATTGGACATTTTCCCCCGACATCTGCGGCAAAATCAGATGCATTCTGTCACCTGTCTTTTACCTGAGAGCTGTGTTTTGTTTTTTGAGTTTGCACACACAGCTGATGATGAGAGAGTCTCACATTCAAAGAAGCAGGCCAGGCTAGTGGCTGAGGGCCGGGGGGAGACTTTCCCTGGGACTGAGTTTTACATAATGTATGCGCCACATCTGTGCACACTCACGGCACCGTAGCCTGTTAGGGAGTCCTAATTGGTTGCATGGGTCACATGGTCAGCGTTACTTGAAGATGTGCAAGGAAACCCTGACTCAGACAGACTGATACACATAAACATGAAGGCGCTGGGTGTTTTCCAGTGTTGTAGCGTCCCAGCAGTCTGTGTTTTCTCATTATGTCTCTGTGAATTGTCTCAGGGTTTATCATTAACAACCAACCTCTACTTCACACCCTCTTCCTGCAGTGATGGATGTACAAGTGTAGCAGCCAACTACTGCAGGCAAGAAGGACCAGGGTCAGGGGGTTTACTGTGAGCCACATGATAGATTTGCAGTGTTGGTTGGCTGTAATGGAGATCTTGCCTCAGGACAATACTCTGAGGAACAGTTTGAAAAGGAAGAAAAACACTGTATGGCTGAATGGTAGGAGGAAGCAACTAACAAATAACCACCACCACGTACCACACGTAGAAGGTGGATGTTCTGGAGAATCTAATGGTCGAGCCGCCTTTAAATGCAGTATTGGCTACAGTACCAAACTGAGTATTCACGGCTGGTTCCAACAATTTCCAGCATTCGCTCCAACACGTTCCAACGCTTCCTACGAATAAATGTAGCCAGTTGAGAAGCTGCTGGTACTGGCAATGGACAGCAGACATGGTGTCAGAGTGGATGCTTCCTTTCAAAACATAGGAGTCGGTTTGAGAAGTACAGAAATACAGAGTTCATGAGATTTAATTAAGGAATAAACTGAGAAAACGAGCAGTTGTTTTGAATATGCTATGCAATAAAACTTCCACCTCAAATTCTTGTACAACAGACTCTGTATGTGTGTTTCAGATACATCATCATTGAATATATAGGGCGATCAAATGATTACAATTTTTAAAAAAATGAATCGTGATCAACCGTGATTAAGCTCGAGACGCTTGATTTAATAAAAAGTCTGCCGCTGTGTGAATTCTAGTGTAATGTGTGTATAGGAGCAACTACAAGTGGCTGGATGGTGACATTTTAGAGTGTCATTCTGCCCATAGGTTTGGAATTTAAATCTGATAATTGTTACCTTAATTACCCTAAACAACTCCAACTTTTATTTTTGTTCAGATTTTAGTTCAAATCTGTGCACAGTCGTGTCTGCTTTCTTTTTTATACACATTGCTTTTCGAGTTTTGGGAGAAAACTTGCAAAAACTCTAATTATAGAGGATATATCGTAGTTTTTTGCTCTGTCTGGCAGCAGGCTCGAACAGTTCAATGCCGGCATGACACCATCTGTACTGCATCGTGTGGATTTGACACAGAATATGCAGTGCAGGGGAAAAAATAACAACCAGTCTCATAGCAGCCAGTATCGAGGACAAAACAGAGATCAGGGCTGTAGAGTTTCTGTAAGATCTTGGCTCTGGGTTTTGGCTGGAGTTCCAACTGGAAAAAGTTAGACGTCTGAGGAACCTGTGCATGTGACGCGTGTGCTCCTCTGCTGCTTGCTTTTTTATTTTTGTCATTATTTGCACATCGGCTTCAAGACTTGCACTTCAGGCCCTCGCTCAGCCACCGCTTGGTGCTGCGAATAACTAGACTTCATAGTGAATAAAGGGACAAAAGGTTTGACCAAAATCACCATCCTCACTGTGTGGACAATAAACAATTACCAATCTGAACTGCACACTCTTGACCAAGAAAAGTCTAAATGGAAGTTGTTCTCAGTGTTCTGTTTCATTCTCCAGTACAAATTGGTTGCAGGCAAGAAGGACCAGGGTCAGGGGGTTTACTGTGAGCCACATGATAGATTTGCAGTGTTGGTTGGCTGTAATGGAGATCTTGCCTCAGGACAATACTCTGAGGAACAGTTTGAAAAGGAAGAAAAACACTGTATGGCTGAATGGTAGGAGGAAGCAACTAACAAATAACCACCACCACGTACCACACGTAGAAGGTGGATGTTCTGGAGAATCTAATGGTCGAGCCGCCTTTAAATGCAGTATTGGCTACAGTACCAAACTGAGTATTCACGGCTGGTTCCAACAATTTCCAGCATTCGCTCCAACACGTTCCAACGCTTCCTACGAATAAATGTAGCCAGTTGAGAAGCTGCTGGTACTGGCAATGGACAGCAGACATGGTGTCAGAGTGGATGCTTCCTTTCAAAACATAGGAGTCGGTTTGAGAAGTACAGAAATACAGAGTTCATGAGATTTAATTAAGGAATAAACTGAGAAAACGAGCAGTTGTTTTGAATATGCTATGCAATAAAACTTCCACCTCAAATTCTTGTACAACAGACTCTGTATGTGTGTTTCAGATACATCATCATTGAATATATAGGGCGATCAAATGATTACAATTTTTAAAAAAATGAATCGTGATCAACCGTGATTAAGCTCGAGACGCTTGATTTAATAAAAAGTCTGCCGCTGTGTGAATTCTAGTGTAATGTGTGTATAGGAGCAACTACAAGTGGCTGGATGGTGACATTTTAGAGTGTCATTCTGCCCATAGGTTTGGAATTTAAATCTGATAATTGTTACCTTAATTACCCTAAACAACTCCAACTTTTATTTTTGTTCAGATTTTAGTTCAAATCTGTGCACAGTCGTGTCTGCTTTCTTTTTTATACACATTGCTTTTCGAGTTTTGGGAGAAAACTTGCAAAAACTCTAATTATAGAGGATATATCGTAGTTTTTTGCTCTGTCTGGCAGCAGGCTCGAACAGTTCAATGCCGGCATGACACCATCTGTACTGCATCGTGTGGATTTGACACAGAATATGCAGTGCAGGGGAAAAAATAACAACCAGTCTCATAGCAGCCAGTATCGAGGACAAAACAGAGATCAGGGCTGTAGAGTTTCTGTAAGATCTTGGCTCTGGGTTTTGGCTGGAGTTCCAACTGGAAAAAGTTAGACGTCTGAGGAACCTGTGCATGTGACGCGTGTGCTCCTCTGCTGCTTGCTTTTTTATTTTTGTCATTATTTGCACATCGGCTTCAAGACTTGCACTTCAGGCCCTCGCTCAGCCACCGCTTGGTGCTGTGAATAACTAGACTTCATAGTGAATAAAGGGACAAAAGGTTTGACCAAAATCACCATCCTCACTGTGTGGACAATAAACAATTACCAATCTGAACTGCACACTCTTGACCAAGAAAAGTCTAAATGGAAGTTGTTCTCAGTGTTCTGTTTCATTCTCCAGTACAAATTGGTGCACCTAGCTTGTAAAAATGAAAAAAATGGATGTAAGGAATAAAAACAAAGCTGTCAGACCCCCCAGCCCCACCACCACCACCACCCCCGGCCTCTCCTCTCCTTTGTCCCATCTCTCCAGTGCAGCTCATTTGTATCTGCAGCGTGTGGACGTCCACCGGTGCCAGAGAACGTTGCTACTTCATTAGTTCCTTCTCCTCGCGTCTACGTGTGTGTAAATGTGCACGCAGGGCCTCAGCGGACTTTGTTTTCTGCCACCCACACCTGCTCGCCCCAGAGCACCCTGGGAGAGTGTAGGAGCACGTACATTTGCATATTGCCATCCTAAATTCCATTTGTAGCAAAAAAAAAAAACCCCAGGAGCCAGTGTCAGCTCTCTGAAGTGGTTGTTCTTCGCACTTTGGGGCCCCCTGTGGGACGACTCAATGATGGCTCTATACCTTACAGTCAAAGGACTCCACAGCGGTGGCTTTGTGTATAAATATACAGTATCTCCCTGGATCATTTTTTACATGCCTTCTTTTTCCTGTATGTTAAACCCAGGAGGTCTGATGAACAAATGAATACAAATGAAACATTGAAGGCAGGTCTGGTAAAAACAGTGGCAAACATTAAAACAACATTTAATTCTGTAGCTTTCCAAAGACAGAGACACAGACACTACGTTTCAGTACATTGTTTGTCGTTTTGTTCATGTTCATCTGTTCATGCACTGGCGTCTGATGTGGGCCTGCTGTGCAGATGGTGGTGGATTTAAAAGCAAACACCACATGATTGTGGAAACTGTGCTTGGATCTTTTGTTGGTGCCACTTTTTAAATACTAATTTAAAGCCTCAGTGGCTCAGAAAAACAATCTGTGAGTGGACTTTGGTGGGTTTGTAATTCTACCTCAACGCAGGAGTTATCGTCTCTGCACTTCTCCATTGAAATGACGTTTCCTTTATGGAATAATGATGTAAATGCCTATAAAGTGAGCTGAGCTCAGACCTTGTTTGCAGCACTGTCCAAACACTGATGTGAAGTCTGTCAAAAGTTAAAGTAGAGGCGACAAATGAGGGCAGATCTTAAAGATAAAACATAGTAAACTCTGCACCAACAACCCTCATCTTCTCTTAACTCTTTGGTTATATATGTAACTCTTATATGGTGTATTTTGACAAAGTCGTTCTGCTTCAATTTACATTAAGCTGTTCACTGCAAAACTTTTTGTCTTTTGTGCACTGTGGGTTAGATACTAGATGCTTGGTTACCCTGGAAGTCAACGTTTTCTTCAAAATAGCTAAAAGTTAAAAAATACTAGAAGAAGTCGGATTAATGTTGGATCTTTGTTGGACTGTCATGCATGCCGTCATTAGATTTTAAAACCACAACTAGCAACTGAAAATACTGGAGACAAAAGGATAAACTTGTGTTGTTTCATATTTGTCTTTCTAAGCTGCATCATTTCTGTCATTGTTCTGGCCTGTCATACTTTCAAATAAGCAGAAACCCTGAGCTATTTATGTGAAAGCAAAAAGAAAAAAAAAACTTCAATTAGTGGCTTCCAGGTTCCACTTTTGATTTGCAAGCCTTGCGATGAGCCTGTTCTGAATGAGGGAACTGAATCCCTGCCAGCGCCTTTTCCTTTCACTGTAAATCTCTGGATGAAAGTCTCAGCTAATGCCCCAGCTATAAACAGAATGATATAAACATGTAAATTGCATTTTATGCTGGTTCTTCACTTCACCTGCGGTGGGTCGGGGAAGATGTTTGGGTGCGGGAGGGGTGTGTTTTGTTTAAAAACCCAAGCTAAACAGCAATACTTCTTACTGTTGACATCATTCTGCTTCGCCTTAAATGACACACTGTAGATCTGGAGGCTGCGGAGTTTTATTGTTGCCACCCCAGCATTCCTGACGCCTCGGATCTCTGAATCTCGCGGCGCATTAAAAATTCATCTAGGCAGGCTCTTCTGTGTGGATAATAAAAAGATGAACACCACATGCACACACACACACACACACACACACACGCACACACTCACAGGCCCACACAGATATAGACAAACATTAAATCAGAGGACCTGTTTCTTCCCGACTTCTCCAGTTCCTTCTTGTTGTTTGCACATTGTGAAACTCTATCTTCTTCCTCACTGAAGACCAGCCGTATCATTATCATTCTTGGTATTCACAAATGCATTTAGGTGATAAACGTCCAAAAAGCCACAAGTGACTTTTGAGAAATGGCTAAAATTATAGGTTGTATCTGTGCTTTTGTTAAACATGAAAATCCAGATTTTTGTGTAAACATTCCCATTCACATTATTACCTGTAACAATTAAATTGTAATGTTTTCTGCCCCATGGCTGCCCTCAGTGGCTGTAACACTTGAAAGATGCCTTTGCTCATCCTGCTGTATTTCTTATTCCTTGTACACACACACACTTGAATGAGTGTGTGTGTGTGTGTGTGTGTGTGTGTTCATGATTCGGCGCCTCTAACTATCCCACTGCCCGTTGCTTGTCGGACACCACACTTTTGTGGCAACTGCTGTGAGCGAGCAGATGGCTGATCGAACACTTCCTTCACTTGGGGCCCAGCCAATCAGTGCAGGCCTGACTCCTCAGCCACCGCCCACACAAACGTCCACAGTCTTAACAGAGTCCAGCTTCAGGGTCTCGGAGGGACTGCTGGAACAGGGCTCTCAGAGAAAGCTGTGACATCAATTATATTTAAATTCTCTTCAAACTGAGCGTTGTGTGTGGACGTGTGTGTGTGTGTGTGTGTGTGTGCGTGTGTGTGCGCACATGGGGTGCCAGTTTCTTTCACTCAACCACCTGCTATTTAGTGATTAAATCCATTCAAGTTGCTACCTTGTTTTTTTTTTTGTTTTTTTTTAAAAACTAGATTACACCTGTTGCTCCATAGCATTCCAAAAGCTGTTACCTGCTTCCTGATTGGCCGAGACCTTTGGCATGACATGCCAGCTATAGCACATTGTCAGTCAGCGGTGCAGACGAATGCCTGCGTGGCTTCAGACCCTGTTGTTGTTGATTTTATTTTACGTGCTGCAGCTAATGGACCTCAGATGAATTCCCCTTTTCATTTGGTTACATCTCACCGTCTTCATTCATTCCAACCATGTTGGAGATCCATTTTCACTTGGTTATTTAATCAAGAAGTCTAACCGAGTTCAGAATCTATTTTGCCAGACACCTGAAAACAAATTGCGTCCATGCGCCATCACAGCAAAACAATGCAGTCACACAAAGAAGCTCTCTCACACAAAAGAGGCACTAATTGAAACACAGCAACTGCAAATGTCAATACCAACTTCAAAGCGACAACACAAATTATACGTCTGTGACATTAATTGCAAACAATGATGGAGCCGTGGATTAAAAAAATACTATTGCACCTGGTTGAAATTAATTAAAACAAGTTTCGTAATTATGTTGAAAATATGTTTTGATTTCTTGTGAGCCACACAATGACTAACATGACATGTTTAAGAAAAGTACACACGAGTCATCTCATGCGTACGTGATGTGTGGATGCAGTTCAGATGTCATGTGATGTCATCGTCATGAACGTAAACAGTTGAGTGACTGTTTTTAATAGGGTGCGGTTTTGCAACTTTTAGTTTTACATATTTTATATTAAAAAAAGTAAATGAAGTCGTGTTAAGACGGGTCTTTCAGGCGTCTCCGACAACTTTGACGAGTTCTAAGTCAAGTGTGGTGCTGTGTTTCCATCAGTGAAAACACCAACATTCTGACCAGGTTTGAATCCTGTTAAAGATCTTATAGTTTTACAGCAGGATTTAATTTTGTTGTGAAATTAAACTTGAAAAAAAAGGGAATTTCACATGATAATATTGTTGTTCTTTTTCAATTTCTTAAAACAGTATGCAGCAAAATTACAATGTCACCCTAATTTTTCTATACTGTTAATCAGTTCATTTAGCATGTTTAATTAGTTTCAGGTAATAGGTACGTACAATACAGTACAGAGCACATCAATAGCAGGGAGATTGTCTTCAACTGTTGATTGTTTTCTGGTTTCTGAATAACATGATGCCCTGATATGAAGCCCTGGTGGTGCCTGTAAAGTGGGTGAGGGGTTGGGAATGGGTGGGAGGAGGAGGGGCATCAATTAAAAGCAGTTTCAATTAAAGTTATTTTACCTTTTCCTGATGAGAGAGTGGGAGGAAGGGATGATAAAATCTCCGGTATTGCCCATGCTGTAGCAGAAAATTGAACTTCGGAATTGAGGCTAATTGAATTTGAGTAAGATAAGGGTGAATTGTCAGCAGCTCTCACATCCAGCCAGGATGGGAAGGAAATGGAAGAAAAATGAATAAAAATATTTGTAATTTAAATGAACAAGGACAAAGGGAAAAAAACTTTTTTTCTTAGAGAAAGGCTCTTTATTGTTAACCAAGTTTAAAAAATGAATATACTGTCAGTCTTTATTATGGTGATTTATTTGGTGTCATATGCATGAAAATGGTATTTTCTTTTCTCTGTATTTATACAGCAAATTACTCTACCTATGGTTATTAAGATAAAGATCAGCTGGACAGCACCAGTGATGTTGGTGAAGATTTGATTGAATTGTGTACTGTTGGAGGAGCTATGAAGGTGATATCAATTTTCTTTTCTTTTCTTTTTTTTTTTTTTTTTTTTGCAAAATACTTAAAAGACATCACGTTTTCTGTCAGGTTATCTGAAATGATTCAAACCCCTGATGTAAAGATTCATATCTGACCTGTCTGGTGTCAAGGGCAGAACAAATTATTTCTAAAGCAGCAGCTGGAAGGTTGAGGTTGAATTGTCATACAGAGGAGACGTAGGAGTGGGAAACAGTCTGAGGCTCTGGAATAGTCCTTTAAGAAAACATTTCCTCACTCATCTCCACCTCCCTTTATAGATTTCCCCAGACTGGAGCAGTGGTCGGAAAATCCCTCTATGTCCGATGCGGTCTCCCTCTTTATGGATGGCTTCCTCTACATCTCCTCCAGCCCTGGAAAGTCGCCGTTGGACCGCCGCAGAAGAGACGGTTAGTGTAAACGCTATTGTGTTTGCCAGTGAAACCAATCAATCCATCAATCCCTTTGTAAGCAATTTAGACTGTGTGTTTGTCAGAGGTCTGCTCCAGTTAAACACTGATCGATCACTCAGTGTCAGTTTGTCAGTTGTCCAACTGCCAGTCATGTCATCTGAACACCAAACAGTCCGGCCTACATGATCAGCGAATCGGCCTTTCAAATGTTCTGCTTCTTTCCTCTGGGAAAACTTGTTAGACAGAAGAGTTAGATGACCTGTGTCTGAACCAAAGCCTCAAAAGCCGATGGAAAAAAAAACGTTTAAATTGACACCACAACAGTCATGTACTCCTACAGAACATTTCTGTACAGAACGTTTGATACACACGTGTTCAACAACATGTTGGGTACACGGGGAAGGTAACCATGGTAAAGCAGAGCTGAACTAAATTCTAACTCCCCCAGAACACAATTTTGATTTCATTTGATTGCTTCCAGCCCAGACGAGTCCTGTATATGAGAGAGTAGGTCTTCAGGTCTGTTTGGTAGCAGTGCCTGTAAACTGCAGTACCAGGGGAGAGAGGAAATTTAAAAACTGACAAAGAAAACATCATCAACCACACATCAACCATGTTTGTTCCCTTTATGGAGCATCAGCAGAATGGGAACTCTTTAACAGAAGAAACCAGGCTAACATCAGGCAGAGGAGCTGAAGTTCAAAATACTGCAGGATTACATAGAATACAGAATATTAAGAATGGGAGCCATGTTTCCTGCTGCACTGTGTCTTTAGTTATTCATTTTTCATTTATTTGAGAACCTTGATATTTGCCTTTTAGTCATATCGTCTCTCATTCCTTTTTGTACCAAAAAATGTACCAGACTGTATTGTCATTATCCATGTACCTACCAAACAATGGCTTTTCTGCACCATTACTCCTCTAGTTAGAATTCAAATTTTCCTATTAAAACTTTCAGTCATGCTCCATTTTCACCATTGAACTCCTGAGGTGCTTTTGCACTTCCTGCTCCTCACTGGTGCCACTTCTCCAAACATCTGGATTGTTTTACAGACGCATGGGTAATTAGGAGAAGGAACCGACTTTGGATGCTTCCCAGAGGGTTTGGGGTGAGATGGAAGGTAGAGTTTGGGTTGGAGGAGGGGCCGCCTGCAGTGGGAAGCAGGAGTGTAGGCAGTTGACAGCATGAAGCTACCTGCTGCCTAAATGAGATGAATCTCCAGCATCTGGGGAAGGACATCTATCTCCATTTCAATTACCCCACTGATCCCTGGTCTCATTGGTAGTTGCACAAGCTGGCTAATGAACAGGGCTGAGGTCTGGGAAATCGCCCCTCAGAGGGGATGGGGGGAGGACATCTTTCGAAATTTTTCATTATCTGCACAAATGAATTCCCCTTTTCATTTAATCTGTAAAAGGGTAATTCCACCTTATTTTATCTTGGCTCCTGATTTCATTTTCTGGCCCTACTTGTAATACTCACCGTAGCAATTGGTGTGGGAACATGGTGACCTTGTTACAACAGGAGCGAAAGGATAAGGTGCATTTGGCAACGGTTTGTACAGAAGACCCATGAAACAGTTATTGTTGTTGAACCTGGTTCACTAAACGTCTACTTATTTTAGCTTCTTCTGAGCGATCTTTTCTTCTCCAGCAAGATATTTGTAAACTAGTAATAAATAAAATGTTAAAAATTGAATTATATTTAGGGGCATTCATCTGAGGTTATATTTATATTTAAAAATATTTTATCCATAGAACTTCCAGGTATTTCTGTTTACATATTTAATCACATGAATCTGGATCAGATTTCTGTTTCTTCAAATTTGTGGTTCTTTTAAAGCACCTCATTTTCCCCAATCAAATATGAATAATCAAAACAAACGTGAAATAAGGTCATATTGTTTTCCCGGAGTTCATGCACAAAAAAATTAAAAAGTTATAATGGACAGTTTTCAAGTCTCGAGTCATTATCATGCTGTCTTTGAATGATTAGATTGTGTTCAACTTAACAGGATTATTAGCTTACCGGCTAACAGCACAGCAAGTTCCTGCTTGTACAGTACTAACATCCCTTGTCTATTGTGACAGTGTTGAGTGTAGCCACAGGGAGGTACAAAGTGAGCAGCACACCACTCCTTTTAGGTGAAAAGGCCTGTACTGTAATATTTCCACCAATAAACACCTTGTTATTTCATCAATTATAGAAAGCTTTAGCTCTTGTGCTCTAATGGTGCTTTAACTGCAGCTGTGCTTGTTGAAAAATTCAGAGGAGCTGGCTTTAAATCTCAGCGTCTTCCAACTTCTTCAATCTACAGGAAGTGCTGTTAGGACTTTGCTGCGAGTGCGGAGGAATCAGATATTCTTGAATGTACTCCAGGATGCTGTTGGCTCCCAGGCTAATGGTTTGATGGTCTATAGATACACAGCGTTCTCAATAATTCATAGCTTCTGCTCTGTGCTTAATAAAAGCACTCTGCAACTGCAACAGTGTCTTAACATTCGCCTCTTTGTTTTCTGGAGCCGACAGTGGAGGCTGTTCTTCCACTGCTGGGAACTCAATCCAGAGGAGGACGTGAAGTCATTTATCAGGGAACCTTTCATAAAGATCCCAAAGTGACTTGATTGTCATGGATGATTTTGCCTGTCCACCAAAACACTCAGTCCAAGTGATGCTCAATCGTTAATTCAGAGAGTAGGCAAATGTTCATAATGTAAGATTTTTGCAAAATGAGTTTGAAGAAGTTCCTTTTTTTTTTTTTTTTTTTTTGGAAATTAAGTAGAATTGAAAGAAAATGGCAGTAGAGTGACTCATCAACACTCCTTTTTGAAGGATTCTTCTTTCTTCAAATCTCAGTCACCAGTAGTAATTTCCTGGAGTGGTGAGTGGCAGCAGGGACACAGCAGCATTAATTCCTGATTAGTTTTGTCTTTTTCTCATCAGCCGCAATCTTTTTTTCCTCTTTGTAACAGACAGAAGACGGAGCAGCTAAGGTGGTGGGGGATTGATAGCCCTCGAGAGGCAGCAAAGGAGTTTTATTAAAGAAAAGAAAAGAGTTGCAGAGAAAATGCATTTATTTGCAGCTCATGAGGCTGTAGCCTCTTTTTTTATGAAATTAAAAAAACATCTTTGTGTATCATAATAGATGTTGCAGAATTTATTTCATTTGATTTTTGAAGTGATGTTTTTCGTCCCTGCAGAAGGCCAGCATTTCTCAGGTATTTTTTCATTTGAGCGCCCTTTGAAACATCATTGTTTAATGATACATTATTATAGGCAGTATGAACATATTGTCATGTTTTGTTTTGTTTTCTACCCTGCAGAGGGTGCTGGTTTGTATGAGAATTCCAGATATTTCACTTTTTCTTCGATTCTTAAGCCTGGAAATTCCAACAAAATCCTGCCTGCTTACGGCACAGCAGCTATAGTACTTGATAAGAAGTAATAACAAAAACAGCTTATACATGCATTTTCATTTATGTTTCAAGGCGGTTTTCTGTCATTTCATGTCTAAATATGCTTCTAACTTATTTTTCCTTAGGTTTTGACATCATTTTTTTTTATTTTTCCCCAAACACACTATGGAGGCCAGCTCTCTCTATCTTTGCATTGTAGTGGGCCTTTACTTGTCTATATGTGTAGGAACAGTATGTACTTGAAGCCAAAAATACATGGTATGGCAGGTAGCATTTTTTTCTTTCTTTTCTTTTTACTTTATCTGATGCCATTCAAGCCCGTAATGAAGAGTTCTATAATTCTGGCACAGACAGATCATTCCGATTTCCTTCGGTTTCTCCATTTTCACTCGCAGCAGCCTTGACAGGCTGTCCAGCAGATGTCTTCATCACAGATATTTTAGTCTGATGCCAAGATAGGCTGGAGATTGGCTGGAAAAATGGGGGGAGAGGTGAGAGAGTGGGAGATGGAGGAAGAAGTGGAGAAGAGTTCACACATTTTCCCAATTATACTCATTTAATTGTCTTCTTATTTGTACTGTTTTTATACTATTGATACTGCGGATTCCATCAAATGAAAGTGGAGACCACTTTGGAGTTCTAGAGTGATTCCACACTGTGTTTTCTGTCTGTTTTAGTTTTACTCTGCAGAATTCTGTGTGAAAAGCCTTCATGCCACACATGCTAATTGGCCCAATTTAGCTTGGTTGGATACAGGTCCCGCGCTTGGCCTGGCATTGTTTTTGGCGACTGGTTCCCCAGCATACAGCAGCCGGGCAACGGCAACCATTGCTGTGCGTTGGGAACAGCTGGCAACAGATGCAGCTGCTTGATTGTGAATCAACTACTATTGTTGTCAGCGTTGTGCGGATGAATGTGTTAGAAGCTACGAGTGTCCCACCCACGGAGGAAACACACAACCACAAACAAAAGAGGGCAAGAGAACGGAGCTCGTAGGATTTGTTCTTGTGCAGTTTCCTGTCAGAATTTCTCAAAATGCAATCACTGTCGGTGTTGGGGAAACAATTATTCCAACACAACAGCATCATATTTACAATGATCAGAATCAGTCTTCTCAAAGGATATTTCTCCTTTTTTATTTCAAATTTTTCTTTAGCTGCTATTCTATTACTACTTAGCCATTTTAAGTAAATGTGAACTTCAGAGTTTCATTCATACACTAGTAAAAGAGTCGTTTGGCCAGAGTCTATGGGTGTCCACAGAGACCTGACCCATGATCCCACAGCATATTGGTTCCATGATTCACAGTGGGATTTTGGGTGGCTCTGTCCTTGTAACATAGAGGAGATGTGTAAGAAATCCCTTTTCTCCTTTTTTTTGTTAAACAGTTCTGATAAAAGATTCTGTCAGACACTGTCCGTTCAAGGAGACAAGGTCGAGATGCCACATCTTTTGATGATGTCAAAATGTGAACCATTAATAATTTTGAATGATGAAGACATACTGTATATATACAGTACATATATATATTCACATGCATATTTCAAGGCCTTTTGGTACCTAACATGTCCTTGGCCAGCAGCTCCCAACTGTTCTGACCTCTGACCTCTTGAAATGAAAGTGTCCTACAGCGCCCTCTCAGGGGAATCATCTGTGCTTTTGACCATATAAATTCATACGTTCTTGTTTCTGTGAATAATTCTCCTCCTGTTATCAAATTCCTAGTGACATATTTTGCCAAAACTTTTCATGTGGTAACTTGTGTTGTACTGTAAAGAATAATAATGTTGGTTAAAATGCTGTTAAAGAAAGCATCAGAAAAAAAAAACAGATCCAAAAGAAAATTTAGAGGAGGCGGGATTAGCTAAAGGTTATAGCAGAGGTAACTAATAACTAAATTAGTTCATTAAAAAAGCCAAACCACGTTAGAAAAGAGGAGACCACTCTTAAAAATCTGCTAAAATGTGGGACTAGATATTTTAGCAACCTAGAAGTAATATATATTATATAAAGTAATGCAACTAAGTTAAATTAACAATGAATAAACAAATTGAATTATTTGTTTTCTCAATGAATTGGCTACTGTTTGTATAAAGTCTGTCAGAAAATCTGTTAAACATGACTTATAATATGTAATATATCTGATATTGCTAAAATGTTGGGGAAACTATGTATGATTAGTTGATACCTGTGTGAGTTTTTTTTTCATATTTTGTTGATGTAATTGTTAGCCTTCACAGCTCACACAGAGGAATGAATACAAATGACTAGAAAAAATGTCCCAAACAAGGACTTTAGTTTCATCATTTAATGATGGACATGGCATTTTCTGCAAAACCTTTTAACCATGGGACATTTTGCAAATCAGTGAAGTGTCCAACTGTTTTTGTGCTGTTGGTGACTTTAAATACCACGGTCAATCTTAAGTTTGCTTTTTTTTTTAATGTGGATGACCTTTCGTCTGCCTTTTTTTTTAGATGAAAATTGCTGGGTCAAAAGTTAAATGAAGCGCCGTAAAAAAAACTATCCGAAGGGAAAGCTGTTTTGTGATTATTGTCTTGAATTTTAATGAGTGTGGATATGAGACCTTTATTGTTTCACAGGGGTATCTGTATTATTGTCTAAAATACACTCAAGACAATGAAATACTCAGAAAGGCATATAATCATGTAATTCAAAGGTGGATGAAAAAGAAAGTCTGACATTCCCCGTTCTTTTTGCTGTCATATCTTTTTTGTCATAACACAGTTGTAGACATTTCCATTTTTTTTATTGGAACTATATCTGTTCCTTCAGAAACATCACACAGTTGGCACAGGATTGCACAATTAGCATATTCATGAGGTGAAATACAGTGGAAACTTTGGAGTTGCAAGCGACAGGGGGTAGGAGCGTGAGGCGGTGGGCTGCTGCCACCGCTGCTGTTGCTGAATGTGGGTGTTTGTTGCAGAACAAAAAAAAAAAAAAAAACACAGATGGTACGGTGACTTTGAAAATCCAAATTTAGGTGTGTTTTCATGAACTTCATGCTCATTGGCTGTGTAACTCGTACAGTCAGACACAGTTGGGAAACACAGTGCTGTGTGTGTTTGTGTTCCAGATTCACCACTGAGATCATGTTTGTTTGTTTGATTAAGTTCTGCTCAGTACCAGGAAATGTCTTTGTCGCTGTTAATTTCTCTGTGTGTGGCCCAACATGCAGATCACATGACTCTATTGTCCACAGGAGGATACATGTGTGAAGGATAGAGAATTCTCATAAAAGAACAAAGAAGTTAGAATCAAAAAGTCCCAGTTTAATTAAAGCAACAATGAGATACGCAGTTGACAGTATGTACAGGAATTGTGAAAATGCTGCCCCCTACTGGGTTAGCTACTGCTAAGGCAGAAAAGGTTAGTTTTCTGAGGAGGGGCATTGTCAGCCCCCAAAAGAAAACTGTATGTTGACAATTTTAAAATAGGATTTTCTTTTTAATACATTTAGTACATTTGTTTCAATATCTGAGCAAATAATGTTTTACATTGGGGAACCAATAGGGGGCTCTGCAGTCAGGTGTGGATTGCAGGTGACTCCCCAACACCCCCGAGTCTGCAACATCTTATCTCTGAATAGTAAACATCTTCCAGGGAGGGTGTGAATTGAATGAGTGTTAAATTGTGTTGATTTTTACAGACCAAGAACCAACAATGAAGGCTGTAATTATTACCAGCCCTCCTCATCCTCACCTTTGATAGTAAAGTCCATTTTACCCGTCTGTAAATGCTGGTTCTGAATTTGTCATCCAAAAGTATTGTTTATTTAAAAACAGTTTGAAGTTTTCCCCAGAAGATGTAAAATGTATCTATAAAATGCTTCTATTTTTTTTCTCCTCTTAAGAGTAAAATGTCACATTGTAACCAATGGAAGGAGACACCTTCCCATTTCAGTGCACTGTAGGCTGCTCCCCCTAAATAGACATTTACTGTTCTTCTCTGAGTCTTTACTATTTTTACCTGTTCATAAAATTCTGTCTTTGACATTTCTGCAAAATCTTCAGCCATTTTTTGAGACAGCCTTCAAGTCCTTAATAACAATTGGGATAAGTGTAAGCTAAGCATCCAACCACACTGTTGTTGCTCTATTGCTCTATAATTGGATGAAACTTTTTGACTAGCTTTTAAGCTTTTAAGATTTCATGATGTCTATGATTATATTCATCAAAACATTTTTTGTACTTTTGCAAGTAGTAGAAAAGTATTCAACAAAGTGGATGAATACATATCTAAGGAAAAGTTCTGCAGTTTTCAGTTTCCATAACCCTAACCCTACATGGTGGTGGTTGGCTCTTTTTCAAACAACTGTATGAATTCTTGATAATGTTTGTTGTTTTTGTGATATTTCTTTATTTTTGGTTCACTTTTTTTGACAGTTTCACAATTCTGTCATTCCGCCTTTAGTGTTGAAAGAAGAATAAAGGATTTTTTTTTATTTGTTTGACACGCCTGGTTTTGTATGCACATTTGTTTCAGACATGGCTCGTCGCTGGTGCACCCTAGAGGGCGGCTTCCTCAGTTACTATGAGAGTGAGCGAAGCTCTTCAGCCATCGGCAGAGTGGACATCAGCACCGTGGTCAGCCTGGCAATTAGCACCACGGAGACTATGACTGGAGCAGGGTAGGAACAAACACACACACATGCGCACACACACAGTCTCTGACTAGTTATATTTAACTGGATCCTCCACCCTAATCTGATTCAGTATGGTTATTGGAGTAGGGATATTAAAATGAAAATTAATGTAAATCAATATCCATTGGTATAAAAAAGGTAATTTACACATAAATCAACCATTACAGCTGTTCAACCAGGTTTTAGGGCTCTCATTTACACTCAGCACTGAAATTATCCCTCATTTGAATTGCATAATTTTCCTGTCCTGCACTAAATCATAATGAATATGTGACTGCCGGCTCCCCTTGAAAAGCATAAATGTTACAAGCAACAAAAAGCCCTTCATAAGGATTTATTTGACTAAATCACAGTGTTCTGCTCCTGTTATTCATATATGAGTGAGCTTCAGCCGGAGTTAGACACGTGAACACAAATGCAGAAGCGCAATCTGCTCAAGCGTTTTTATTGCTCGTCATATGTTTGATTAGCATAATCTGATCTGAAGCATTTTTCACATTAACAGAATCCATCAAAGCTTTATTGGTGCTATATTTTCCTGTTTACTTTAGCAGAAACTGCAGGCGGATGATGTGCTGTTTAACTGCCCTCGCTTCATTCACTGTACACTTGCACTCCGCTCTCCCATCGCCTTCCTGAGATTATGATTCATTTCAAAAGTTGCCTCTGAAGACAAACTTTTCTTTATTCGTCCTAAGAAATAAAATAAAATAAAAAAACACTCATGGAAGAAGCAGATGTCTCTATCCTTTTTTGTTTCTCCCCGCTTCCCGTTCCCACTGGATCTCACACTGTATCTGTGTTCGTTTGTGAGACGGTTCCCCAGCAAAGCATCTGATAATGGCTTATGATTAAAGCATGAGGCAGGCCCTTAATGACAGCAGCAGATGCTGTAAAGACAGAACAATGTTTTTTAACTCTAAATGTTATTTATGCAGCTAATAGAAACACATCTGCTCGGCTAAAACTGTGACCTTTTTAATGAGATGGATGCAAACACGCAGCCGTGATAGGTTACGATTACAATATGGAAGCGCACTCCATCTCTTATGCTAGTGACTTGGCGCAATTTGTTGCACTTTGTTTGTTGCACTTCACAAATATACAGGTCACAGCGTCGCCCCTGCAAACACTGGTATTCCTGTGCTGTCGGTGCAGTTACGTCACACTACCTGCACCTTTAACTCACTGCTCCTGGAACTCGCAGCATACACAGGAATCCATGAGCGCAGTGGTGCCTCACCTTCTGACTGTCTGTCACGCATGAATATTAACGTATGCAGATGACACTCTGCTAACAACAGCCTATCGCTGCTCTCCAGGAGGCCCATGGTGTTGCTTCCATTAAACACGTTTGGATAATTACGGCACGGCAGAAGACTCAGAGAATAACAACGCAGCCCGCTTGCATACATTTGCTAAAGTTATATGAATCGTACAACTCAACTCCCCAAACTATTAAAACAGCTCTCAATATGTTAGCTTTTGATAAGTTTACAGAGTTTTTCCGTGACTTTTTTGTGACTCACCCTCTTCTTGCAACCAGAATATTTCTACCTAAGTCACTTCCCAGCTTCAGAGGCAGCTAAAAACCATGGGAACAAACCTGTCTGTGTTCTCTATTAAACTTTCCATTGTCTCTTTAGCTTTTGCTATTCCTCTTCCTCTGTCTCTCCTTTTCTCACTTCCTTTCCTCTCTTTCACAGACTAAAACAGAAATAGCAGAGTTTGTAAAGACGTTCAGCTCTTAACTTTGTAAAAGGGATGGGGTTTATATAAATATAAATTCGAGGACTGGGGAATTAAGACTTTGACTGAGTACACACAGTAGACAGACTATAGATAACTCTGTGCATGTTAAAAACTCAGGTGTGCAGCAGCAGCAACAAGCTGAAGAACTGTCAAACTTTACACAGGATATAAAAAAGCAGTATATTTTTCTAGCTCACTGGAATAAACACAAACTCTGTGGTCAAAATTGGAAACGTGCTGTTTTCTTTCCTGTGAGATGAAATTGAGGGGTTTAGTCACAAAGTCGGACAAATGTAGATTTTACATATAATCTTTTTACCATCTTTTATTTGTTATATTTTTATTTTATATTTATTTTATATCGTTTTATTAACCATAATTATAAGGATGTAAAATTAGATTTTGGAAACAAATCTGAACATAAAAGTGCCAGATAAATGACTGTAATTTTTAAAAAGTAAATTATTTCTGCTTCAATACACAAACAGATAATGTGGTACAAAGCAACTTTTTTCTGTGAAACTTTGGCATCAATTATTATTCATAACTGTGTATGTGTCTGTTGTGTTGCCCATGTGTGTCACCCCTGTAGGTGTTACTGTTTGTGGACCAAACGGACCAACTTATTTCTCACGGATTGCATCTTAAAATTGCATTTTGACCCATGCTTATTTGCCTCTGGAAAATTAGTACACTGTGGTTCTTCAGAGAACTATTAATATAGAACAAATTCTTGGCTAACTGTTAGCTTTTAAGGTATTCAGCTATATTTTGGACAACCTCAGGTCATTTTGGGTTAATTAGTCATTTCATTATTCATCTTAGCTATATGTTGGAAAAATGTCTTCCCAAATATTTCAGGTTGTTTGATACTTTTACTGTCAGTCTTTATACTTTTTTGCTAAATTAAGGCTTTCTATGTGGTTTTTGTTGCGGAGTGTTAGTGGTGTTATATTTTACTGAGGTTTTGAGTTTTTTTTTTTTTGCAATTTCTTTTCCTCTCACTGTGTGCTGTCATTTTATATGGTACACCATTTAAAAATGACACCTCCAACAGTGGCCTTGTGTTTGAGGTCTTTTGTTGTTCTTCTTGTCACAACAGCACCTTTTACTTATTTTCTGTCTGTTTACTTCTTGTTCTCACTCTCACTTGTGGCTCTCTCAGGCCACTGTCTCCCTTAGGGACACAAATAATGTAGCCTTCATCTCTACTCTTCCCCATCTCCGCTTTCTGTCCTTTTCTAATTCGACAACATCTTCCCAGTACAGTGTCATACCCACTTCCTCCATCTCTCTGTCTCTCCCTCCCTCTGGGATCCTCTCTAACAAGCACTTCCACACCGGCCAACAAGGAGTACATGGGAAACGGGGAATGCACGATAAGGAGGAGGAGGAAAAAGGTGGGGGTCATGTGAGGTCACACAAACACCGTGTCTCAACCATTCCCCTGACACGCGTGATAAAGAAAGCGATTCAGCACTGAGCTGACCCCTCTGTGACATGGGGCCGCTTAGACACCCACCGCTGTAGCGTTTAGTGAGTGGTAAAGGAATCCACGAGGAAATGGACACTCTGACCTGTATAACTTTAATGGAGGAGAGAGTAGGAGACAAACAGAAGCAGGAAGTGGGGAAAAAGAGAATAATCACTGCCTTTTTGTGCAAGACGAAGGGTTTTACCTGCAGTTGTATCTCTGTATAATGCAACCAAATATGTCAGAGTGAATGTATTGGTTCATCCAGGGGTTCTGTGTGTTGGTGCACACCATGTTGGTGAGGATATATCAGCTTCTTTAAGGTGTTTTCTTATTGCTTTTTGTATACAGCAACAGTTTGAGCCACATAGCATTTCATCTCATTTGATCTGATCTCAGTTCATCTTGTTTGACTTGATATATATATATATACTATATATATATACTACTATATATATATATATATATATACTGTAAACTGCAGTCTGTAGTATAGATAAATTCCTACTGTTTAAATATTACATTTACCAGAGTTTCCAGGGTATTAGAAAAAAAAAATCTGCTTCACATTTGTTGGGCTCATAAAAAAAAAAAAAAAAAGTTTTTCCTCCTCTTTTTAATCAGGCTTTTTCTGGGGCTTCGATTTGGTATAAACTGCAGGTGAACTGTGTGCAATTTTTTTCTGGTTCACTGTTTCAGACAAAGGGAACACATTTCATTGTACTGCTGCTGTGTGTGTGTGTGTCTGTGTGTGTGTGTGTTGTGGCAGAGCGGTGTTAACCATGGAGCTGTACCTGCAGACAGAGAGGGTTCTGATCGTTGGAGCCGAAACACAGGAAACACAGCAGGACTGGATCCAAGCTCTAACCAAGGTGACACATTCTGCATATAGCACACACACACATGCACACACACACACACACACACACACACACTTATGTGCAGACACAGCATCACACAGGATGCTACTGTTGACAGTGCAGGCAATGCTGCTCTTGTAAACTTTAGCTTAATACATGCTAAAGGTTAGTAATGTATATATAGTAGTGTTTAAAGGCTATGCTGCATGTCAGCAGTACAAAGGACATTTGAACATTAAAGACAATGCTGGAAGTCAGCAGAAATTGACAAATTCCTCCAAATATTGAATTAATAGACAAGCATAAGAAATGTTTCCTTGGCAGTAGCATCTAGCCAAAAGATAATTGTTAACATGTTCGGATGTTAATAAAGTAGATTAAAATGTATTTTGAACATACTACAGGTTGACAGAGAAACAAAGAGTTAATAAACAATAAATAAGAATTATACAACATTGTGCCTAATATAATCCTAATATAAATTCAAACAATAGCTGATCACAGCTAATAGCTCTGGACTTGAACAGCAACAGCAAACCTAAAACTGGACTAAGAAATATAGTAGCTTAAAGTTAGCTGTGGTGTAGGTACCAAGTTTGATTAAATTGCATTTTATTCCTCCAAAAATTATTTGAATGCCATCATCCATCCGTTCTACTCCACCGTAGACTGGATTAATTTGGATTCTAAACACTTTCTGAGTGAGAAAACTATAAATGACACGTTGACGAGACTCATGTCTGACTTTTAGTGCTTCATCCCTGCCAAAGTGGAGAACCTGGTGCTGAAGGACAGCGAGCTGATCGGCAAACTCTACTACAAAGAAGGTCACGACCTCTACCATTGGAGGACAGGCTGGTTTATGCTGGAAGGTTCTGCTCTGCACTTCAGCTCAGGGGAGGACGAAGGAGAGGAGGAGGTGCTTCAGCTCAAACAGCTGCAGGAGCTGAGTAAGAACATTTAACCTTTTTTTTTTAATGACAAATCGTCTGTTGTGTTGATTTTGTCCAATTACGACATCTACAGACAGGTATCAGAATTGTCCTCACTCTGGCCTTCCCAAACTAAGCTTATCTTAGTTTGCTTAGAGTAGTGAGAGGTGCTTTGATGAACGATTAGGATACAGTAGCTCCCTTTAGAACACAGTAGGAGGCGCTGGAAGTTGCTGAGATAAAGATCCTGAAAGTTTCTTCCAAAAGGACCAGGACGAACAGGATTAAAAATCAGTAGATCTGGGAAACTGTGAAGGCGAAGAGTTTGAAGATAAGGTTGAAGAGACAAGGTTGCCAGGGTCTGGACGTTTACTCAGAGGAAATATGGGATAAAATGAACAGGCTGTGGTCGAGATGAAGCTGCCAGGCAGAAACAAGAGGAAGGCCCCAGAAAAGGTCCATGATTGAAGTAAAGAGAGACAGAAGGATGGTGGAACAGACGAAGACGTAAGAGATGGGAGGAGATGGGATGAAATATGTTGTTTTATACTCATCTCCTTTTAGGGAGGATGAAGGGAGAAGACAAGGAAAATGAAAAGAAGTAATTAGGCAGATATGAAGGAGGAGATGTGGAAGGAGAAAAAGGAGAGAAAATACATTGTTGCCATTAAAAGGGAAGGGACCAAACAAAAGTAATCAACAACAAGATAAACACAGTTTAACATGTACTTGTCTTAAATATTTGTTAAAAGTCCACAGTGTAACATATTATACCTCTCCTGTAAATTGTTTGCCTTTTATGTAATTTATAGCTTGTGGCTACCATGCTGCATTGCCGTGCTCCTTGTGGCAGGGGGCCTGCTAATGGAAGTTAGCCTTTTGGCTACAATTGGCTGCATTTACATTTGTACATGTTACAGTAAATGTTCATTAATATACATTGTCCCTTTATAACAAATAAAGATAAATACAAATACAAACAGAGGGAAGTTGAAGTGTAAGAAAAACAAGGTGAACAATTATATTAGCATCTTGGCTACTATTTCTAACTTAATAATCAGCTCTGTTCAGCTCGTCAAACTGTTAAACATGGACTTCATGAATTTCACCATCAGTCTTATCTTAGCCCTGCATAAAACCAGTGCTTTGAGGGAACTGGAGGATAAGGGAATTCAGCCACAGGCGTGCATGTGAGACTACATGTTAACATAAAGTCAACCAAGGTCAGTGTTACATTATGCATCACCATGAAGTGAGTGTAGAGCTCCTTCAGTGGTTCAGGCACGTTTGTGAATGTAGGACATGATTCAGTGGCAAAAAACAGAAAAAAATACTATCAAGTAGAGTGCAGACTGCTGCTTGTTGCAGTTGAAGAAGAAAAAAAAGTAATTTAAGGTTAGTGCATAGGTGTGTTAGTTTTTCACTCCACCCCAGCAGAGGGTGCTAGGAATGCTGTTGAAACAGGTCGAACAAGTTTTCTCCAGGTACTACAGTTTTCCTTTCACAGTACAAAAACTTTATTGTACCATAAATGTGTGTGTGGGTGTGAATGTCCAATGACTGCTGGAATTAGCCACAGCTCACAACCCTGAAAAGAAATCATTTGTCAAAGATGAAGTGTGAAAATGTGGTATTACTGCCACCTACTGTCTCCGTATTCCGCTGGTAATTACTTTCATAATAGTGCCATTTTAGTAAACACGCAGAACTGACCGTTCTTCTACTACCAACTTCTACTCACTTTGTGCAGAATAAGGAACTGCATTGGTGTCCATTTTTATTCCTGGGTTTATCCTAAGGCATATTTGTTACAGCCAGAGCCGTTAGTGCTGGAGGAACAGTGTTCAGTCGGGGGCGGATGGAACAGTCTGGAACAACTGAAAGATTTCTTTAGGAACCAGAGTCTGTGACATGGGATTAACTGTTATTTCCTATTCCAGTGATACCGACATAGGAACGATGGCTTTGTGTAATGTGGAGGGATTAAATAAATACACTTTTCACTCTAAATTGCAACATGTTTTTGACATGCATCAGCACTTTACTGTAGGAGTAAAGAAATATCCTCCTCTTTGGCCCAAAGCTACATTTTCCCTCCTCTCTTCAGATTAAAAAATGTTTTTATTGTTACTAATTCTAATTTTGTAACTGTGATTAGGACACAGTTTATATCCCACAGATGTTGTGAAAAGGCTTAAATCCCCCTTTTTTTCTCTCTGCCAAGCTAGTTAACTAATTTGCAGTTTGTATAAAAATAACCTCCAAAGACAGCAGATGTATTTATCTTCTTTTCTTTCTTTAAGCTTGAGCATCTAATTAAGAGAGAGACTTGTTCGTCATATTAAGAATTCTAGTAAAAAAAAGTGAAGTGAGAAATGACAGATGCACTCAGATAATCATTAACCTGTCACCAGGCACAAATCCAGTCGTCTCATCCAGAACTGTCTGAAATTAAAGGCTTTCACTGAAGATAAGCACATTAAACTGGAGCTCATTTTGGTGCAATTTTCTTAGTGGGTTTCTGTAAAAGCAGTGGCCGAGGGCAGAAAGAGAAGTGACTAGAATTGAAGACACGTGTTGTACAGAATTGTCTTCTGGACGTTTAAATGATCAGATTTTACTACTTTTCTTGTTCACCAGAAATGGACTAAATTTAAAGCCTTTTTTTGTTGCTAAGATATAGACGATTTAGGAGGTTTGAAATGAACATGTTCATCAAGTTTGAATGCCTGCAGAGGAAAACAAATGTTTGTTATCATCTTAAAAAAGTTTTTATCTCAGTCCAACACAGACACTTGTGCTTGTGGGGACATTTTGAAAGTTCTCACTGACTGACTGAGGGTATTTGGAGGTTCAAGATTTAGGTTGTTGTTTAGGATTAAGATTAGACATTAGTCAAACAGTACGTGTTTATAAAGTGCTTACAAAATAAAAAAAAGTGTGTGTGTGTTTGAAGAGTGACAAGTGTTTTGTAATGCGTGATTGCACAGTTAAAAAACCTTCATGTTCTCAGTTCTAATCTGAGGTTTTCTCTCCCTGTTTGTGTCTGAGTACAAAAATGTCCTTGAAAATCTTTAAAAAAAAAAACACCTATATATTATTACTTGTTACAAAAGCTCATGGGAAAAGATTCTTTCTTCTGTGTGACCAAACACAAAAGGGGAAAGTTGTAGCCATTGGCACTGTTCACTTTAAGGTCTGGTCCAGGCATGGGCAAACTAAGGCCCGGGGGCCGGATATGGCCCGTTCAGCTGTTTTAAGCTGGCTCACCAAACTTTTCCAAATTGTATAATTTATTTATTTATATATGTATATATATATATATATATATATATGGTCTGGTCCAGTCAAATTAAATGTTCTGCCAGTCGAGCTCATTAATATAAACAGAAAGGTTTGTTTTTTTATTGTAGCAGAGCTTTTGTGTTAAAACCAGCCAATAGAAAAGTTGCAACTGGTGGTTTATTTATGTATTTATATTATGCTTTTACATTACTGATTTCAATATATATTATTATTGATGTATTACTACCATAATATTATATATGGAATTTTATTTTATTTTTTTTAGCTTTTTATCATTTGTTCTTCAATGTTAAAACTTTTAAGATGAAATGTTTCCAAAATTTACTCTTCTACATGTTTTTTTATTACCAGTAAAAATAAGACTTTAGTTCAACTAAGTAAATGTGTTTTTACAGTGTGCAGTGATTTCAGACATCACTTACAAATAGACTGCCTCCAGTGATCTTCTCCAAAGAAGATCATAATTCACTGCAGAAGTTCAGTAAACAACGTTTCACATCTTGCATCTAGCAATCTCCGAAAAATCAACAGATTATTTACATGAAGTCTGTTTATTTTCATGTTGACTGGGGGAAGTGAGGGAACACGATGGAAGTGCCAGATGTTGTTTCCTGCAGATTTGTGACTGCAAAGCTTCGTATCTTTTACTCCACTTTCATTTCTCTTTCTTGTTTGTCTTTGCAAGCAGCTGATTTTGAACCAACCATGAAGCAGATTACGGTGGAACTTTTTAAGCTCACCCCCTCCTTCTTATTCTTGTATCCTTAGATTTTCATTTTACTTTCAAAAGGCTGGTGAAAATAAATGAAAGATGTCCAAAAATTTATTTATATCATGTAAAGAAAAATCCTGTGTACACATTTTTATACATACATGTATTCAATAAGAAAAGTGTTGATCTTGTCTTTTAAACCTCCTTTATTTCATTCCTATTTCAGTTTTATCCATTTTTTTCCCTCTGCACATTTGTTAAGATTTGTCAGATTTGTCTGGATATATTGAATGCTTTATTATGTGGCTGCAAGAATGAATGGAGAGAACAGAGAACCTTTCAGTGACAAATGAGTCAACGCCTCCACTCCCGAGTCGTGCGGCGAAAGCTTCTAAATGATTTCTCTGCACTTTTCACAGAGATTGAACAACTCCAAATGTCAAATCTAAACAGTTCCTGACACATTATGGTGCATTAGTGCAGAATGTGTGTTGTTTCTTTTTTTTCCTTTTTTTTTTTAAATGCATTCACCCTGGGAGCCAACTTACCTCACTTCTTTGCCCTTTCCTTTATTTTCCCCTCTCAGCTGTTTCCACACATACTGAAGGTGAGGAGAAGATCCAGGTTCTGCTGATGGTGGAGGGTGGGAGGTGAGTGACACTGGGCTAGTTGGCCTCACGTTTATGATACACTGGGTTGTTGTATAAGATTAGCTTTAAGTCCTTTATTCATGCCACAATGGAGACATTTACATTTTTGTATTCATATTGCAGAACTCTGAGCTTTAACTCTGTCTTCATCCTGTTATTCATGTTGCCTTTTACCTACCGTAACCAACCAGGGTCATTGAACTAACAGTTTCTGTCACGAAAAAAGAAGTCGATGCAACCCCACACATACACCGGCTACAGATTTAAGCATTTCTTCATTGTAATGCCACCAGACTCTAATCTTGCTGGAATAATTGCCTTTGTTGATGTTTTTATCAAACCTGTTACTGAAGTACACTTGGATTAATTCATTCCTTTAAGTTGTATATACACCTTCCAGTGGACTCACCACCTGCAGGAAGGTTCAGGGGGGTTGGTAGGGTGCAGTGTGATTTGGGTGGTGGTCATGGAGACTGCTGCCCCCACGACCCGGTAACGGATAAGCGGATGAAAATGGATGGATGGATGGATGGATGGAAGTATATACAAAAAGTGTAGTACAGTAGTATAGTACCAAACCAAAAGTTTGAAAAATAAATAAAATTACTAAGGTAGCTAGATGTTTAGCACAAGTAGCTAAAGGTTCACCAAAGTGACAGTGGAAAAGGTTGAAAAAAAAAAGTAGCACAAGTAGCTAAAGGTTCACCAAAAAAAAAAAATTGAGCTTTTCACTAGTATATGACATAATTTCAAGTATGTTAGAAAGTTAATGGTTAATCAAGTTTGTCTTGACAAAAGAATACCTTAAATATGTTAATAGTTATACATCACTTATTCAATGTGTTGCAAAACGTTAGAACAGCTTGTGTAGAAGCAGCTCAAAGTAAAGGAAGCCATATTTACCTATTTAAGTAACTGTGTATATGTATTTCTCTATATTGTTTTCTTTCTTTGCAGGACAGTCTACATCCACGGCTTCAGCAGGACGGACTTTGAACTGTGGCACTCTGCCATTACACTGGCTGCAGGCACAGACGGCAGGGCCTTCAGTGACCAGCAGTTGACTAAAAATGGAGTGCCCATCATTGTGGACAGTTGTCTGGCTTTTGTCACACAGTACGGTGAGTTGCTTTCCATTACTTGGAGAAGGAAAGGAAACTTTTAGGAAGAAAAGAGGAAAAAGTTGAGCAGCACTATTACTGAGAGTTCCTGTGGAAGAGGTGATTCATACAGTGTTCTGTGTCGTGATGAGAATTTTAATGCTCTCCCAATGTTTTTGAACATAATGCTGTGACATTATTCCCTCTCTCTTTTTTTTTTTTTTTTGCTTCATTTTTATTCTAAGAATAGACAATCTTCAGCTTCTGTATGAATGCTAAAAACCCTTCTTAGTGTTAGGAAATATGAAGGATTTTATTTAGCTTCAGATTTGTTATATCTTGGTTAAAGATTAGCCAAAATAGCGTATTTTTCTCTCCACAAATCGTCACAGAAGCTTTTAAATATCCCTTAAATGTAGCACATCAGCCAACTGATTTAACTGGGAAATGTGTAAGCCTTAGAAAAATAACATAAAAGAAAAAAAAAACAAGTGCATAATAACTGTTATCTCAAAGAAAATGGAGTAGAAAGAAAAAAAAAACTTGTCCAATTAAAGTCCCCTAGTTGTTTTTCAAGGTAGCAGACTAAAATGTGCCAAAAAATTAAAATAACATCTTGAGAAATTAAATTTATCTCAGAAGATGCCAATAGTCCAGAGATTCATTGTTTGATTTTTGAACTGATATCCCATCAGGATTGTGTTTGGAGGGAGTCTACCAGAGATCTGGTGACCCTGGCCGTGCTGACCTTCTTCTGCAGGAGTTCACCAGTGATGCCCGTAACGTGAAGCTGAGGGAGAAGGAACATCAGCTGGATGATGTGACGGACACACTGAAGAGTTTTTTATCCCAAACAGAGGACGCACTTCTGACTAAGGAGCTCTACCCGTACTGGGTGTCAGCTCTGGGTACGTTGGTGCAGTCAGTGGATCACCACCAGTGGGTGGTAGCAGAGTACAACCAGAACATTCATAATACAGTGCAACTGTTGAATGAAAATGAAAATGTCAATATCTTTTTTATATATATCTAACCCCTAAAAAAGGAAAATTGATACCTGGACATGGGTCAAGATAAAAATGAAGAGTCAATGTTCTGGAAAACTTTAATGTTTCGCAGATATTTCTTGTTTGACTTGTTGGAAGTCATCCCAGAATGTGCTGAATCAGCATCTGGCAGCTTCATCATGGTGAGGTCCATTATGGTTACGGCTCAAGTCCAAAAGAGATGATGGATAAAATTGCCTTCAGGAAGTTCAGCAGCAGCAGGAAATGACCCATATGTTTTGTAGAAGGAAGTGGAAAAGAAACAAGACCGATCAAATTTTTTTGGACCAAATGTTGTCTTTATATGTTGTAATAACTAAACATAACCAAATTTGTATGAAAATTGCGCAAATAATGTTAGCAGAGCATAACATAGGTATGGTGGAACTGTTGGATGTATATACACCTGGGTCAACACGTAACGCGATTGTACATTTTTCTGTATAGATGAAAAGGAAGAGGAGCAGAGAGTAAAGAAATATTCTGCTTTCATCGAAAGTTTGCCTAAAAGTAACCGCTCCACACTGGAGGCCCTGCTGCAGCATCTATACAGGTACTCCCATACACAAACACACACACACACACACCCAGAAGGGTGGGGGGGGGGGGTCAATAAGTGTTCAATATCAGGTTCGAGGGCCAGTTCTGGCACATAAACACATTTTAATGTGGCCTTTGTTTCATATTTAGGTTCATTTTTATGGCCACTCACCATTGTAAGAAATGAACTGTTAACCATTAAGAAATATGTATGTTTTCATCAACATGTTATTTTAGCTCCTAATTTGACTTTACACCCATTTCCGGAAACATTTGGACATACCAATGTCTTTACCTATGTTATGTTAATACCAGGAAGAGAATTCCCAGCTGTGAATCACAATGTCTAACACATACTGCCTCTGATGGTGGCTAGATGTGTAACATCTAATATGTAAGTGTAACGTGTGTGGAGGTGACTGTAAAAACACTTTATTCTTCTTTTTTGTGGCTCTTTGTTTCAGGATTCAACTTTGTTCCCACCTCAACCTCATGTCCAGTGACAAGCTAGCCTCCGTCTTCTCTCCCTGCTTGTTCCAGACTCAGGGACAAATGCCACAGGAGATCAGTGTGGTCTGTGACCTCATCAACAATTACATCACACTCTTCAAAGTGAGTGAAGGATTATTATATACTGTATATGCAACAAGGGTGGCGCTTTGGTTCAGAGGCAATGTCTCTGTCATTGGTGTGGAACCCCAGGGGTCACCTCGATCGAATCCCGGTTAAGGCGAGAAAGAAAGGTTTAGGGGGGGTTGGTACGGTGCAGTGTGATTTGGGTGGCGGTCATGGAGACTGCTGCACCCACGACCCGGTAACGGATAAGTGGACGTAAGTGGATGGATGGATGGATGGGTGGCCGAGAAGCCGACAGAAGTCAAATGAGTTAATGACAAATAAAAACGTCTGTAGGGATTTTTTTAGGGGTTGTATTCAACTTCACTGTTCATAACACTGTTCAAAAATTCATTAGTCAGAACATTGTGAGGTAACCTCATTATATTAGCTCTCTAAACTAAGCTGCAGGTGGGGCATTTTTTTCCTCTAACCATTTTAGCAGAAGAATAATTGTTGCCAAGTCTTGGCTTGACTCCCGTCATGTGTGGAAGTGTGAGGGTGTGGGATCAATGCTTCCCTTGGAGAGCCGCCGGGCTTATGGGATATGCAGCCGTAGAGAAAACCAGCTTATTCCCAGCAGAACAATCCGCTCGCTGGTTCTGACGTCAAAAGAAGGTTGCATTCACTGCAAAATCGGTTGGAGACGCCATCACATGCATGACAAATAGCCATTAAGCCGAACCAATCATAAGCCTGGTGGCAACGGAAAACAGCATCAAATGAAACGAGTGAGACGTCCTGCTAATTAAAGTGCTAGTTCTGTGTTGGATGCTGTTGACAGGCCCCATTATCAGGCCCAAACACACACACGTGTAAACACACACACACATACCATGTGTCCGTTGGGACACTTTTTTTCTACAATATTCTTTGTCCTGCGTATCGACTCTTAACCAAGCAAATTGTTAATTGAAACTGATAATGATATAAAAACTATTATTTTACATATAGTTTTGAGAAATTCAACAAATGATTAAGATTGTCCCCCACTGCTTTTGGAGATGATGGTGCAGAGCTGGTGTCAAAGACCAAATTAGTTTTAGAAAAGTCACAGGTTCAGCCGTTTGCTTATGCAATGCTTTTTCCTGCCTAACTGTGGGCTCTAATTCAGTGTGTTTAAGTGAGGAAATACGGTATATAAAAAGTCTGAAAAGTACAGAAAAAAATAACTTCCTGAAAAATGTCCTGAAACAGTAGTGCCAATAAACACAACTACACTTTGGTGTTTCTCTTTATCTTATTTCATATATTTTGTAAAGGTCCTCTCAAATATTTTTAATAAATCAGATTAAATATGCTCTAGCTGTGAATTAATCATGATTAAATGTGAAGTTGTGGTACTTGCTGAGAAGACAGTCCTCCTACCTGGGCATGGAATCAAAACTTTGATTAAAACCTAATCCTTTAACCGCTTAAGATCAGAGCTGCCCTCGAGGGAAATAGATGCTGATTTTGGCAGGTTTGTAAGTGAATTTCATGACCAGTTTTGTTCTTGGGCTGCTAAACAATCTATGTCTATGTTTATATTTCTTGTGTATGAATCTAGACATTTGTAAAGCTCTTTTGGACTCATTTAAGGGTGCACCAACTTTTCTGGGGGTGCTTTTTTTGTACCTTTTTTAATGATGTTTCAAATGTTTCAGATTCAAATCTTGCCATACGTTTATGTCTTTGTCATTTTCACCGCAGATCAATGACGAGCAGGTGCAGCAGATGGAGAGAGAGAACAGTTTCATCTCACGCTGGAATGACAAGAAGGACACCACAGTAAGTCGACCCGCAGAACCCAGGAATTAAAATCACTGTCGGCGCATCGTCTCTGTGAGTGTCTTTGTCAGGTGTTCTCTGGTCATGGATTAAATAGAAAAAACAACAACTAACAACAATACACACACACACATATATATATATATATGTATGTATATATGTATATATATATATATATATATACATATATACATACATATATATATATATATACATATATACATACATATATATATATATATGTGTGTATATATGTATATATATATATATATGTATGTATATATGTATATATATATATATATATATACATATATACATACATATATAT